GGCCCCGATGGTCGTGATGGTCGTGCACCATGTATAATGTATTTACATTTTATTTCGCCGGAGGAGCTGGTGGGGAAGCGAGGAGATCTCTTGTGTGGATGGTGAGAGGTACTTGAGAAAGTTACCTGCCCCGTTTCGCAGGGCAGTCGGTATTATCATTGTATCTTTACCGCGTTCACTCATTCAGCACACACCTCTCACACACTCACGTACACATAAATACGCACCCACGCACGCTTATATGTGTTTGGTGTAGTAGCACTGAAGGCACTGTGAAATATTGTAAAAATCTTGGACTTTTGCGGCACGAGTGTACACGCTGAACTCTTTCAGCACGTTGATGTATACCGGAGGTGAGGGGTCTAGCGACTGGTCCGATGCTCACGCTGGAGTAGGTTGAACTTTTACCCGCTTCCTAACCAGGGTGGTCAGAGAAAAGAGACTCAGATTCACGATAGAACCGCGTGCATGCAGCCAGGCCAGGTTCACACTAGAACCACGCAGGTTCAGTCTTATTTCACAACAGTACGCAGTCATATTCACGATAGAGCCACCTGGATGCAGCCATATTCTCAAGATTCTCTATAGAACCACGTGGATGCAGTCAGATTATTTTTAGAACCATTATCTCTAGAACGACGTAGGTGCAGCCAGATTCTCTCTAGGACCACGTGGATGCGGTCAGTCTCTCTAGAACCACATTCTTGTGAGGATTCATTTCATATATCTGAAGTATGGTAACCCAGATAGCTATCATATCCCCAGCAATTGTGTCCGGACCTAGCAGAGAAACAACAGTTAGTGAAAATCATGTTCCCTGATGAAGAGTTTATTGGCTATTTGTCCCACCGTACTAGAGAATTTTGCCGTGAACATTGCAGATTTACTGCGGTATAAAGATCTAGAAATCGTGGATTAGAATTCTTTTACATTAGCATTAGGAACAGCTTATGTGTTTCACTGGCAAGATGCTCGACCTGTGCGTCGAATGCTCGTACTCATGCACTCTCTTCAGTCTCTTTGCTGTCCCCCATAATCTCTATTTCTCTCACTTTCTCTTTCTCTCTCTCTCTCTCTCTCTCTCTCTCTCTCTCTCTCTCTCTCTCTCTCTCTC